CCTCATATGTACGGAGTGATTTTCCATTTTCAAAGCACTTTCATGTACATTAGCACAGGCCAGACTTTTTGGTAGGTATTACTATTCTTGTTTTACAGAAGAAGAAACTGAAGTTAAGTTGTCTGCTCCATCATAGGCCTATACCCATGGACCATGGGGATTTCCAGAAGAATCCTGCTTCTTGGCAGAGAGCTATTTTTGCTGCCTGTATTCTGTCTCCAGACTGGAGGAGGGGAAGGAGGCCAAGGCAGGCGAAAGATGGGGCGCATCGTGGACTGCTAATGGAGTGTCGGGGACCAGGCTGTTGGAGAAGGGGTAGGGCAGCCTGTGGAGTAGAGAGTTGGAAGCCACAGGTGCAGTCTTGTGGTGGCCTCCTTACCAGAAACATCTGCAGCTTCACTGACACCCTCCGCAAAGGGGGCTGGGGGCAGGGCTTGGAGATGGGGGAGGTACCGGAGGGGCGACAGAGGCTGTTCTTTGGGAAGCAGAGTCTTGGAGGGCTGCCCCACCCCCAGCCCAGCCATATTGTCCCTAACACCATGACCACTTTTGGCAACTCTGAGGGAGGTTCCTGGGCCTCCCACACCCCATGGGAGGTCTGAGTAGGCAAATTTCACAGTCTGGCCTGGGCTCAGCCAGCTGGCACCTGCAGCCCTTGAAGAAACTGCCAGCCACAGAGTGGAGCAGCTGGAACCTATCCTCACCCCAACCCCCTTCCCTTCAAAGGGTTAACTCCACCTGGGGGTGGGCCTGAGCAGGGACACCTAATCTCTTTGCTCACCTCCTTTGGTGGGGGCTAGGGGGGCAATAGCAGGGGCTCAGGCCTGAATCCTAACACCTCTGCCTGTCGGGGGAAGTGGGGCAGGGAAATTTCTGGGCCTGCCCTGCCCCAGGGAGATGAGAAGACCAGACCGAGGGTGGGGGACACCCGGCAAATGTGACCATGGGTATGAATGAGCACAACATGGCCTCTTGCCTAACACACTTGACTTGGCAAGGCCTTGGACCTCATTTGGCCTCCAGAACTTCTGGACAGTAGACACTGGAGGAGGCTGTTGGGCCCACTGCAGAGGCTAAGGGTGGAGGAACTCAGAGTTGCTCCTTCTCCTCATTTGGCCTCTCTTTCAGACACTGTTCCCCCATGAGAGCCAAGCTATCATAAGCAAGATGGCCCCCAATGATTCCTGCTACCTCCAGTTCACACCTTTATGTTGTCCCCTCCCACATTGTACCAGCGCTGGCCTGTGTAACCAATAGAATAGGGCAGAAGTGATGGTATATCACTTTCCAGATTAGGTTTTAAAGACATGGCAGCTTTTATCTTGGCCACTCTCTTCCTCTGGGAAAGCCAGTTGCTATGTGGTGAGCAGCCTTATGAAGAGGCCCACACACCAGGGCACCTGGGTGGCTCAGTCGGTTAGGTGGCCGACTTCAGCTCAGGTCATGATCTCACAGTTCGTGGGTTTGAGCCCCGCATCAGGCTCTGGGCTGACAGCTTGGAGCCCGCTTCAGATTCTGTGCCTCCCTCTCTCTCTCTGCCCCTCCCCCGCTCATGCTCTCTCTGTCTCAAAAATGAATAAACATAAAAAGAAAAAAAATGGAAGAGGCCCACGCAGGGAGGAACTATAGCCTCTGGCCACCAGCCACCTGAGGGAGGCTTTTTGGAAGCAGATCCTCTAACCCAGCCAAAGCTTCAGATTGACCATAGCCCTGGCCCACATCTTAACAACAGCCTCACAAGAGATCCTGGAGCCCGGGTGCCTGGGTAGCTCAGTCAGTTAAGCGTCCAACTTCAGCTCAGGTCATGATCTCGAGGTCTGTGAGTTCAAGCCCCATGTCAGGCTCTGCGCTGACAGCTCAGAGCCTGGAGCCTGCTTTGGATTCTGTGTCTGCCCCTCCCCCACCTGCTCTCTGTCTCTCAAAAATAAGCATTAAAAAAGAAAACTACTCAGCTAAGCTGCTCTTAACTTTCTGACTATGTGAGATCATATGTTTATTGTTTCAAATTACTAAGGTTTGGGATGATCTGTTATGTAGCAGTAGGTAACAAATAGAGCTTCTGTCCTCTTTAACAAGGGTTTAAGATGAGCCCTCACCTCAGCCCCCACCAAAGGTTCCTGAGTTCCCTGCCTCTTTCATGCCCCTTCCCCTCAGGACCTCAACCTGGAACACTGGTTTATCAATAAACTTGGAGATGCAAGATGAATTCACCTAGCTCCCTGGGAGAGTTAAGAGGACAGCAAAAGGCAGGGAAGGAGGAGGTGCCTGGGTGGCTCCGTCAGTTGAGCCCGTTGGGCTCTTGGTTTCAGCTCAGGTCATGGTCTCATAGTTCATGAGTTCGAGCCCCACATTGGGCTCCATGCTCACAGTGTGGAGCCTGCTTGGGACTTTCTCTTTCCCTCTCTCTCTGCTCCTCCCCCTCTGTCGGTCTCCCTCTCAAAATTAATTAATTAATTAATTAAAAAAAAAAAAACCATAAAGAAGAAGAGAGGGGTGCCTGAGTGGCTTAGTCAGTTAATCCTCCAACTCTTGATTTTGGCTCAGGTCATGATCTTGTGGTTGGTGAGATCAAGCCCCGTATCAGGCTCCACGCTGAGCTTGGAGCCTGCTTGGGATTCTCTCTCTCCCTCTGCTTGTCTACACTTTTCCCCTACTTACGCTTTCTCTCAAAATAAATAAACATTTAAAAAAAAGAGAAAAAGAGGTCAGCAGAACAGTCAGTGGTTATCCTGCTGGATGCAGAGGGGGGAGGTTGGAGGAGCTGAAGGGGCAGTAGGGATGTGTCACCCCTAGGAGAGACTCCACAGAGGAGGGGGTGAGAATGAATAAAAGGAACCCTGTATGCACAAGCCCCATGCCCCCTCCTCCTTGTACCCTTTGCTCTTCTCTTCCTTAGTGGGTAGAGGAACAAGGTGGCCTTTCACTCTGCTTCTGTCCCCTCCTTGTCCCCTTCATTCAGGAGCATGGGGAAGTCCCCACATAGACGACGGTGAATCCTTGATGACTACTCTCATAAGCCCAAAGGGCATAGGATGTTACCCAGTAGAGAGGAAAATTGCCACCCACAGAACTTTCCAGGAAACCCCTACCCCCATTAAAACATGGGGGCTTCCATTACAGCTGTGGAGAGCAGGGTCCTAGGGCAGAGCCGAGGGTCTCCTCGGCAGCTATCCCCAGGCCACAACAAGGGGGGACCTCAAGGCTTCTCAAAGGAACTTCAGGACTGCACTTGACAGTGTCATTATGGGCCAGAGTCTCTTTCTGTGCCACTGTTTCTCAACCTGTGACAAGATCACCGCCATACTAAGGCTCAGAACTTCAGGTCGCCTTAAATGCTTTGTTATTCAGGCTTCAGAGGGTGTCCCTCTACTTCTAAGGCTCTGCACAGAGGGATCCCAAAGGTATCCCTCTGTCCCCAAGTCTCTGGCCATCGTGTCTCCACAGGGATATGTCTTCAGCCTCATGGTTCGTGTCACCGTGCACATGGCACCCAGGCTCAGGGGGTACCTGGTGTGTTTGCCACAGCATGTGCACATGACCTCCTGTGCCTCCTGCTCCTGCAGACTCACTCCCACTGCCTTTCAGTGTTTTTTCCCTCCTGTCCGTGCCCTGCCAGAGCTGTCTGCAGCCAAATCCAGAGCCCAGCACATGTAGCAGGTGGAGGTCTAGGTCCATGGGGTGGGAGCTGCTGGGGGCTAAGGCTGTGTGTGTCCTCTGCTGCATGACCGTCTGCGTGGCCCAGGTGAATGTTCTCTCCAAGAGAGAGACAACACGGAAGGCAGGCAGGCTTGTGGGTCTTACGTGCACTTCCTGGCATGACTGGAACACGGAGGCCGGCTGCCTGCTTCACAAATGGGTCATTAGACAAGCACATCGTGAATGGGGGACCTCAGTCTTCAAAGCCCTTTTACTATCTGGTACTCACGGCAATCCGTTTTAATGGGTCATTATCATTATTCCACTGAATATGAGGAAACTGAGGCTGAGAAGATCAAGCCCTGGTCACATCAGCAGAGATAGAATCAGAAGCTGGGTCTCGGGACTCCCAAAGCTGCACCATAGCCAGCTGTCTTGCTGGCCATTTTTCTCCCCACGTGGGGCCTTTGTTCACAGCACGTCCCTTTGTCAGACTTGGATCACAACCTTGCCAGGGCCGGGGCTATTTGTCCTGAGGCATGCATCGTTCAGTGCCTCTCCTGGACAGCGTACACGGTATATGACCACCGCTTGGTGCACGCTCATGTGCGGACCACAGAAAGTGAATAGCACAAAGATGGTGACTGCACATCAGGGATCTGTGCCTGTCTGGACCCCAGCGCCGTTAATCTCCTCCAGCCCGCCCCAGCCTGCCCGGTGACCTCCTGTGGTATGACAAACAGTGACCACTGGGTGGCAGTGTGTTCTCATGCCTGGGACCAGACAGGTTGCCCAGAGCCAAGGAACATGGGGGTGGGGTGGAGGCAAGCAGGATCCACACCGCCAGCTGTCCAGAAAGGTTGCAAGACCTGATCCCCTGGAGGACGTGACATGGCAGGGCTCCCCCGTGTGTGCATGTGTGTGTGCGTGAGTGCCCGTGCCCTGCAGCAAGAAGGCCAAGGACAATGTGAAATGGAGCCAAGAGTGGGGTGGGGTGGGCCAGGGGAACAAAAATACGAAGGAAACCAGGGCAGCCAGCGTAATAGCGAAGGACACAGAAGAGAGCTGCCGAGGTAAGGGGTGAGGGCTTCTGGAGCGTCAGAGAAGCTATCCAGGAGAGAGAGAGAGCAAGAGAAAGACCAAGGCAGAAAGAATCACGAAGAGACCAGAAACAGAAAAGAGGAAGATAAGAGAGATTGGCTGGGGAAAGTAGGTCGGAAGGCTGAGGTGGGAGAAGGGAGCCCCCAGAGGCTGGGCAGAGACTAGAACCTTCACTGGACAAGAAGCAGCCAGACTCAGGATTGCTGCTGACAGGGAGTTTATTTAGACTGAGTTGTGGAGATCTGGCTGCCTCAGCTTCCAGGTCAGAGCTGCTCGGGCTCCGGCTCGGGCTCCGGCTCGGGCTCCGGTTCCAGTTCCGGTTCTGGCTCCAGCTCCCCTATCTTGCTCTGGGTCTGAGGTGGGTGAATCTCATGCTCCAAGGCAGAGAATCTTCTTGGACGCCACTATGGGAAGACATGGAGGGTAGGTGGGGAGAAAGATGAAGGGAATATGGAGAATACTGAGTCTCTCTATTCTTTCCCAGTCCCCTGTGTTCCCCATCTGGTCCCAGGCCTTTTCTCAGTCCCTTCAAGCCTCTCTTGGGTCGTTCGGGCACAAGGGGTCCTTGGAGAGGCTTATGAAGAAGGGGCTCTGCAGGCAAGATCAGGAGTCCACCTTGGTCATCTTCCCTGAGGAGAGGGTGCCAGACAGCACTCAGAAAACTAAAGGGAGGGGAAGCCAGTTGCCAGGGCAGGGGGCCGGGGGGTGGGGAGAGGCAGGGAGAGGTCCCTGGCTCACCTGTCTTCTCCAAAAGTGAAAGCCAAAGGCTCCAGTCATCAAAAGGAGCAGAAACAGGATACCAAGGATGAGAAACAGATGGAGCTGGCCTGTCTTCAGGGGACCTGAGGCCCTCCCAGAGTGTTGGGCACCTACAAGAGAAGTACAGCATTAGGCATAGGGTCAGTTGAAAGGATATCTTGCCACACCGTCATATGTTACAGATGCCAATGAGACAGTGAGACCCAGAGTGTAGGGACTTATGCAGGATTGTTAGCTAATTAATAGCAGAAGTGAGTTCAGGCCTGGACAAGAGCTGGAGGTTAGAAAGAAAAGAGCTGGGATGGGGCAGGGGAGGGGTCTGGAAAGCGGGATCAAGATGGTTGGTCTGGAGCTGGCGCTGTGGCGCTGTGGGGTCTCAGACCTGGGCCAGAGGGCTCAGCGAAGGATACCGCTGTCCCGAGAAGCCTCTCCCCCTGGTACACGTGGCACTGCCAGGGCTGAGAAACGTGTCTGGCCTGCTGCAACTCCAGCCAGGGTCCTGGGGAACTTCCCCAAGACGGCTTATCCAGGGGGCTCCACACAAAACGCTCTTGTCCGGATGCTGGAGTCACCTCACAAAGCAGTTTTCTCGGGTTGCCAGGTAACCCAGAGGACTTGGGAGTCACTGAAAAAAATCAGAGGGAAGAGACCTTTGGGGGCCCGACCCCCTCACTTGAAACCACAGAGTCAACTCCCCAGTCTCAATCGCCCTGCACTCACCTGGGCTCTGATTGGGTGAGGTTGAGGGGAGGAGATCAGGGTCATGGCCAAATTAATCTTATCAAGACAAAGCTCTGGGCAGATCACTCTGCTTGCTGCCTCAAAGCTTTCCAGGCTCTCTACTGCCTTCAGGGGACAGTTCAAACTCAAACTGGCCCAGAAGGATCACACAGCAAATACTATTTTGGATTCTTTTACATTACTTTCTACCCAAATGTTCAGGAACCCCAATATCAGTCAGGTATGTTGCCCCACCACCACCACCACCATACGCCTTACACTTTTCTTGTTTCCATGACTTGGCTCACGTCAGTGTCCCCTGCCTTGAGGTGCCCCCGAATGAACTCTACCCCCCTTTCCGAACGTTCGGAGAACAGTGAACTGACCCACAGACGGCTGATCTACAGACAGCATCTCAAAGCTGTACAGTGAGAGCATGGGTAAGAAGACACCAATGGTGAAGGGTCTTGAGTTGAGCATGGTGTACAGGCACCTGAAGACTTGGTGACAGACACACCTGACCTTAGACCCCGAGGCTGGTACTTCCCAGCTGTGTGATTTGAGAAATTCTTTCTCTGTAAAACAGGGGTAACAGTCTCTCCCAGTGAGCTGTCATGACATAGCATGGAACACTAACACGAAACAGCTGACGCTCAAGAAGACCTGAGACAGGGGCAGCTGGGTGGCTCAGTCGGTTAAGCGTCTGACTCTTGATTTCAGCTCAGGTCATGATCTCATGGTTCGTGGGTTCGAGCCCCGCGTCGGGCTCTGCACTGACATTGTGGGGGGCTGCTTGGGAGTCTCTCTCTCTCTGCTC